TGGAATTAATGGAGATATAAAACAAGCAAAACTGGCTCAAATAACATCTGCATTCAATGCAGGAGCTATCCATTATGTTAGTTCAACTTTCTTTAGCTTGCATTGGATATAGAAATAGAAAACACACCTGGGTGTCCCTCTTAACACTATGACATCAGACACAGTGCATCACTTGAGCTCATGATGTCACCAATTGAACCCTGAAAAACTGACATGTATCATAATCTAATAAGTCATTGGTTCCAGTTTGAGGCTGATGGTAGTGTTCAGCTGTGGTGCAGACTTCATGTGTTGATGGAATACATTTGTTAGCAAGTCATGATACAGGCTAGTGGTTGTACATAGTGGTGTAAGAGTGTTCATATAGGTTGGGATTGCTGATTTAACTAAATATATCATTAACTTGTGGTTACTATATTACACTACTTTATGATCATTTGACTCTCAATCATTCATGGACTCTATGAACCCCAACAATGATAGATTGTTCTAGCAGGATAATGCTCTATATCATTGATTGCCCAGAATTGGTTTGAAGAGCATTCTGGAAATTTCCAATGAATGGCATGGCCACCATGCTCACCTGACAGGATCACAATTGAGCATTTATGAGACATGATAGAGAAGCCTATTTGCATACATCAGGGATCTGTGGCTAGTTATCTAGAAGGCATGTCTCAGTATTTCTCCTGAAGTCTTCTGATCACCTGTAGAATCCATGCTATGTCAAGTTGTTGCACTTCACTGAACAAGAGATGTCCCACACAATACTAGTACTAGACACTATCCCGTGACTTTTGGTACTTCGGTGTATGTATATTTGAATACATAGAACTGTATCTTTTTGCTTGTATTGTAAATGTACATACCAAAGATGTTGGTTTCAGTAATGACTGCAAAAAATTTTCCTCTCCCCAATTTATAGACAGAAGCACACAGCATGCTAAGATTTCTTCCTAGCCAATAAAACAGCCTGGTTCTCGCTTTCATATGACTCATTCCTGGTCTGTCTTGACCTGAAGTCAGAACACTGTTTGCTTATCCAAATTTGCTCATGTGTGTCTACCCCAATTCTTAGTTTGTAAACTTTTTGCAATATTATTGTTGCTTAGCTTTATTACTATCAATTTGCCTTGCATATATTATTTGCTTGGTTTATACTATTTTTTTTCCCTGTACTTTTCTTTTTCCTCATGTCTATTACAAATTTTTCAATTCCATTTGTTGGGCAGTTCTGCTATTTATTTACATTTAACCATGGTCACTCACTCTACAAAAGGTATTGTATATTCACATGCATAGATGTAAATGCTCAGTGCATATATAAATATTTATTTTATTTATCTGTGCCTTTAAAGTTATTCTTTTGCTTTGTTCAAACCTTACAGTCAGTTATGTGCCATGCGTGATAAATGCTTAGGTGATCATGTATCTTTCAAAACATGACTGACGAGGCAAGATTTTTTCTTGTAGTAGGTTGCCATTTCTTTTTGCAGTAGACCCCTTGCCATCCAAGGCTATATAACCTGGTCTGTCCTGCTATTTACCCATAGCTGGGGGAGGGGGGTTGGGAGAGGATTCATACCTTTCCCAAGAGTATTAACACATAAGTGAATGTAATGGATTTGAATGGAATTTGAACTCGGCTCTCCAATTTCTCAATCCGAGCTGCTATCCATTACTCCATCGTGCCTTTTTCCTTAACTCTGTTTCTTCCCATTACTGTCATTTTTTTTTTCTTCGCTTTTCAATCTATATATTTTAAGTCTGATTTTTGTATCTCTGAATGCAGCTTCTTAAGAAGCTGGAATGGTGCATTGTAGCGAGATTAATGTACTTTGATAATGTGCTAACTTAAAAAATGCCCCAAATAATCTGAATCATTTACAAGTAAATGATGAGATTGTATATTTTTATACTTTAAAAAAAAAAAAAATAATCATGTAAATAATTATGTTTATTATACAGTACTATCTCTTATGACTTAAATATGCAGGTGAACTTAATACACTGTAAATAACATAATCTGTGACGGAATGAATTTAATGATAATATTTTGTCTGTCATCTTTTTTTGGCCCAACAGGGTACAAGTTTTATGTTAGTTTCATATAATTTTAGGTTGTAGTCAGCTTAACAAAAAAAAACAAACAAATGTTTCTCTTTGCAGCGTGACAAAATATGGGAATTTTCAATTGAATCTGCACAAAATATTTTGGAATTTTTCAAGCAACTCCCTGGATTTTTAGACTTATGTTTGCATGATCGGTTGATTCTGGCAAAAGGATCTGCTATAGAAATTATGGTATGTATCTCGATAATTTTCTTTTCTTTTTTTAATCATTCACTGCTAAAGGGCATTAATATTTTTACTACTTTATCTATTAAGTGCTAAACTATGTTAATTATGTAACATAAGAATCCCGCTTTTTTATTTATCTTTTTTTATTTGTTACCTTGGCATTATTTTGTCCTCCATACACTGCTGAGGAATTCTTGGCTTAAACATCTTAGAAAAAAAAAAGAAATCATTTAAAAACTTCAATCTCAATGTTTGAGTTTTGTTTTATCCTGATTTCTTTTCAAACTTTATTAACGTTTCTTAATCATATTTCTTAATAATAAAATCTTATATAATATATATATATATAAATATATATATATATATATATATATATATATAGTTCAGCAAAAATCTATATTAAATTAGTTTTAGTCCAGAATTAAGAAAAAATAAAAGTAGTTAAAATCAATAAACTTGCTGATAACTAGTAGAGCATGATTCTTCCTATAGTCACTTAAATGAATTGATGAGATATATATATATACACACACACACACACACACACACACATGTGTGTATACTAAAATTCATCCAATACAAGGCTTGATAACCACTCTTAAATTCATAATGTTGAATGAGGCTTGTAATGGTAGTAAGTGAAGATTCTGATGTTAAGGAGGATAGAAAACAATTGATTCTGGACTTGAAAAGCTTAAGATTTTCATGTTCAGGGAAGCACCCTTGAGGGAGTCTGTTCCACAAAGTGACAATTGGCGAGGGGGGACTTTCTTCTCGCATCTAGAACATGAAGAAATGAGGCTGATTTCACTGTATGGAAATAGCATGTTATATCTGAGGTATAAAGTTCAGAACTGGTGGAACTAAATTATTTAAATAGCATTTATATCATTCTAAAGAATTGCCCTTATTGAAAACTTTTCAAATCTTTGATGCAAATTGTAATTTTTTTTTTTAATTTTCCAGTTATTTCGATTATGTCGTCGCTATAATCCACAAAAACACACTCTGCATTTGTCAAATAATTCAATTATAACCGAAGAAAATTTTAAGGATGCAAAGCTTGATGGAATTGTATCTTCTGTATTTGATTTGGCTCGATGCTTGCATTCATTCAACCTGGATGAAGCAGAATTTGCACTCCTTTGTGCACTGAGCCTTTATTCAGTTGGTAAGTGTTTATTTTTATTTATTTTATTAATCAAAACAAACTTAAAAAACTTGTTTCCATAAACTTACTTTTCAAGTTGGCTTTTTTTAACTTATTAATTTTGTGGGAATCATTTTTCATAATTCTTCTATTGTAATTATTTACATTCATCCTAATGAATAAAGGAAAAAAACACAATAGAAAAACTGCATGTAATTTTAGCCAATGCATTTCGTCCACTGCAGACTTTATCAAAGCAAAGACAAAATGAATTTATTTGAACAAAGTATCTATAAACAAAATTAAAATGTTGTTACTAGAAGAATTTAGAAACATTTATTTATATATATATAATATATATATATTCATTGAGCCAACTGAAAAAATATGTCATTTACTTTTTATGTTTGAAAATGTTGTTAGTTACAAGAAGAATTTAGAAACACTCATATATTCATTAGGTCAATTGAAAAATTACGTCATTTACTTACTTTTTATGTTTTGAAGAGAATTTTTCATATGTAGAAATATTGTTTGGATTGTTGTGATGACAAATTTTTTTTTTTTTTTTTTTTTGATATATTGATTGTGTATGTTGAAATCAAAAGAAAAAGGTTGAATTTGTCATCACAACAATCCAAACAATATTTCTACATATGAAAAATTCTCTTCAAACATAAAAAGTAAATGACATAATTTTTCAATTGACCTAATGAATATATATGAGTGTTTCTAAATTCTCCTTGTGACTAACAACATTTTGTTTTTGTTTATAGATACTTTGTTCAAATAAATTCATTTTGTGTTTTGCTTTGAGAAAGTCCACAGTGGACGAAATGCATCAGTTAAAACTACATACAGTTTTCCTACTGACTTTTTTTCTTTTATTCATATTGTTTTTTCTACAGATTAATTCTGAGAATTTTTTACATTCAGATTTATCATCAGTTGTCTGTTAATCCAGGCAATTATCAGGAAATTTTGATCTGTACCTTTTATTTAATCTGTGAGGGTAGATTGTTCTCATTCCACTGTCGGTTTCTAGAAATATCTTATTCTTTTTATTACTGCTCAGTTATTGCTAACTCTGTTTTTACTGAATGTGAGTCTGTACTACCTGACCCAGAAATTGATCTCTCAATTAATTCATGAACCAATGCTTTAATTATCTAGGCTATTATCCCAAGAGACTCTTGAATCAAGACCTTGAAGCCTTAATCATTTTAGTTGTTGTTGCCTGCCTGTTATGCTTGTTCTCCTTCACCTGTTGCTTCTCTTTCTCTCTCCTGAAGCCTTTGCTTGTTATTTCTCTTTTTATTGATAACTCAATATGGTATTTATTCCCATGCTAGGCCTACTAAAGAGTTTATCATAGCCTAGCATATGTGCTAGTCCCTTCAGACATCTAATTCTTCAGTCTAATATTAGTCTGAATATAAATAATCATAACTCGTTATTGTAGTTTCATAATAATTACTTATACTATTCTAGTTTTGTATTGATTACTCATATTATTATAGCTTCGCAGCGATTACTTATTCTGTTCTAGTTTTGTAACGGGTGCTCATTCCGTTCGCAGTTTAGCAACGGGTGCTCATTCCGTTCGCAGTTTAGCAACGGGTGCTCATTCCGTTCGCAGTTTAGCAACGGGTGCTCATTCCGTTCGCAGTTTAGCAACGGGTGCTCATTCCGTTCGGTGCTCATTCAGTTTAGTTTACAACGGGTGCTCATTCCGTTCGCAGTTTAGCAACGGTGCTCATTCCGTTCGCAGTTTAGCAACGGGTGCTCATTCCGTTCGCAGTTTAGCAACGGGTGCTCATTCGCTCGCAGTTTAGCAACGGGTGCTCATTCCGTTCGCAGTTTAGCAACGGTGCTCATTCCGTCGCAGTTTAGCAACGGGTGCTCATTCCGTTCGCAGTTTAGCAACGGGTGCTCATTCCGTTCGCAGTTTAGCAACGGGTGCTCATTCCGTTCGCAGTTTAGCAACGGGTGCTCATTCTATTGTAGTGTCATACAGACTTTGTACAAATTGATATTTTCTGCCACAATGAAAAAACTGAAAATCTTTAAAAAGGACTTAGTATGAATAGAATAGATATGTACTTTGTTTTCACTGAATTTATTTTAATATTTCAGAATATGGACGGTTGAAAGAGCCTCATATAGTTGATTTCTGGCAAGAAAAATTGATTAATCTCTTTTTGAGTTATATCAAAATCCGCCGTGTTGGACACCAGAGCCACACTAAAATACTACATGTCTTAACAACTATAAGAGGACTTAGTGTCCAATGTAAGTACTTTTCATTTAATCTGAAACTGCTGGGTATTTGGTTAAAGCTGGATAATAATTTTCTGTCTGTTTCATAAATGATTTTTTAGTTTTACTTCTACTTTGAAAAAGCAGTGAAAGTTTTGCTTGTTTTGTTTTTATTGTATATTTGGTTGAATGCTTATCAGATACAATTATAATATGGTACTTTGAAAAAAATATTAAGAGCTTTTAATGTGTAATTACCTTGAAATATCAAGCTGATTGTTTTGTTTTTTCAGTTATTTTCAATGTACTTCATTTCATTTTTATAGATGCCAGTTCCATTATGGCTGTAGCTTCAATTACGGGCAATTTACAAGTCAGAAGTGCTAATGGAGAGTTAGAAGACAGCCTGGTGGTCCAACTCTTGGACAAAGCTGAAAATCTTGAAGCAGCTTTACAATGATTTTTGAATTCTGAGATTAGACAATATTCCATGAATTATTCACACCTATATTCTCATCTTTGTTTTGATGCTGAATAATCAAAACAACAGTAGTGAAGAGACTAGATTGAATAATTCATGGAATAGTTTTATCACTGTTCGAGATTTCTCTGGTGACCAGCTTTTTTTTTTAATCCAGACATTAAGAGTTTTTTTTTTTTTTTTTTTTTTTTTTTTTTTTGCTTATTGTTCAATACACAAAAGAATTTTTAATCTAATGTGAATTTTAAAATTTTAGTGTAATTAAATGAAAAATTTATTTTTTACTTTTTTAAATTGTGGTAGAATTTTTTTGACCCCTGGATATTATTTGAATCAGGGTGAGAAATAAGCAATACACTTCAACTTTTAATTCAGAGCTAAGTTGTGTACATCGTAATTGTCCATTTTATCAAGGAGAGATATGACGGTAAATTTTTTTTTTTATTTGTATAACTTATTGCTTTTTTTTTTTTTTTTTTTCTCTTGTTTAAAAATAAGAATGCATCAGAATGAGTTAAAGCAGAAAAAAGTAAGCTCTTATATCTGCAACTTTGAAATATTCTTTTTGTGGTATAAGAGATGTACAGTAGTTGAACATATCAGAAAAATGTAAAATTTGTCATTATAGTAAAAAAAAAAAACAATAAAAAATTTAGGAATAGATTGTTTTTTTTTTTGTTTTTTTTTAACATTTATGATTTGTTTTTCTAAAATATGCTTTCAACAAATTTTTTGTTTATTAATAGAAGAATAGTCACTTAGTTGTAATTTCTCAGATATGTACAGTAGAAAAATTACATTTTTAGAAAATATTACATTTGTAGAAAATATTACATTTTTCTATGTACATAGAAAAATGTAATATTTGACATTTTAGTAAGTAAAAAAAAAAAAAGAATTTTATGAATAGTCTTTTTTGAATATATTTGTTTTTTGTTTTTTTTTTGTTTTTTAATTTATGTAGATTTATGCTTAATTTCCCTTTCTAAAAACATTCAAATTTTTAAAAATCTTCCCACAGTGGTAAAGATAGAAGATGAAATTTATAATAGAGGTAGTTTAGTTTTTTGGTTTTTTATTTTTTTTACATGTATGTATGCTGAATTGAATGTTGGTGGTTGCATTTTGGTACTGGGAATTTTACAGAAAAAAAAGAAACTCTTGTAGCCCTCGGACATTTCAGTTTTATTGTATGTTATTTCAACTCGTACAGCATAAGGACTATCATACTGATTGATTTCATGAATCACCCTATCATTTTCATACAGATTCTTCCTTTGTATGTATTATTTGCATAAAGCAAACACAATCATTTTATTTATCTGACTGAGCTTGTCAAAAAGAAAGAAGAAAGATAGTTATTGTAGGTGAAGGCACCTAGTGCCAAACAGTAGGTACCAACCTGTATTATGCCAAACAGTGAGTGCTAAAGTTGGTTCTTTAAAACAAAAAAAAAGATAACAATTTAAAAACAACAAAACAATTTAATACTTTTTCTTCTATTTATAAAATATTTAAGGAAAATAATTTTTAGTTGTAGTTTAAAAAATGTTAAATATTTTGATACTTAGCAATTTTTTTCATATTTTTAAGACAAAAATACAAGGAATTAAAATGTTAAAAGATAAATATTTTAGATTTGTTTCTTTTATTTTACTCTGACATCATGGAGGCCATTTTCAGTTTTTGCTGCAAAATTATTTGCCTCTTTTAAAGTGATCTAATAACAAACTCCTTGATTCTCTTGGGATTTTAATTAACATTGGTTCATTTTGAGGGAGATCATGCAAAACACTCATACTTTTAATTTTCATTCCTTATTGTGCAATTCTATTTATAAATATTTGTCAAAATGTCTGCTTGGACAGTATGACTGGTGGAGAGAAGTTTTAAGTCTATTTCCTCTACACTACCACTATGACTGAACAAAATGAACCATGATCAAGAACCAAGAATTGGGAACTTTTATTGGTTACCTATATTTGGCAATGTAATCTCTTTTGTATGAAATGTATATTTTGAAATACAAATTAGAATGTCTGTCCAGTGTGTATGTTCCTAAGATATATCCTTCATACAAAAAGTAAATTAGTAAAGTTAATGAAATAAAATGGTGAATTCATTTCACTAACTAAATTTTTGAAATGCATTAACTCACTAACAACTGCATGCTCCACACGTTTCTGTTATCAATAACACACTTCAAAAAAACATTTTGATTTGTATTATTTTTTAATTTTTTTTTCATCTAAATGCTACCTGAATTTTATCAAAAAAGTTTCCATGCCTGGTGATGACTGGAGAACTTATCGAAAGTACTTGTATATTTAAGGAAGACCTAATACAGTTTACAATTTTAAAAAACAAAGATCATAACGTTCATCAAGTGGTTGTTGGGTTAATGCATTTTAAAAATTTAGTTAGCAAAGTGAATTCGCCATTTTATATCATTAACTTTACTAATTTACTTTTTGTATGAATGATTTAGTGTAATATAAATTAAACTGCACCATATATTTGATTTTATATACATATATATATATATATATATATATGTGTGTGTGTGTGCACATATCTATGTGCATATTTGTATACTGATCTGTGTGTGTGTGTATATATATATATATATATATATATATATATATATATATATATGGTGATTTTTCTAAGCATAACTTAGACCTAGATGTGTCACAAGCCTGAAAGTAAGGAGTGAGACAATCATTACACCATTTTGATGTGTGTGTGTGTTTTTGTACCAGGTATAACAGCAAAATTGTCCAATTGTTAGATTAAGCTCTAAACCATCTTAGAAATGATTAGAGATTTATTGGACTCTATGAGCAATAAGAATGTATAATTACTCTCCAAACTTAACAGAAGAATTGTGATGAAATTGATCATAAACGAAAATGACATATTCATCATTAATTAATCATAGATAAGGATCGAAAGAAAATTCATATATATATATATATATATGTGTGTGTGTTATTATTTCAGGATCATTTTCCAACTTATTCAAGATGATCTTTGCCCTCTCTAACCTAACCTTCTGTTCTGTCTCAATGAGTCAAACTAATTGATCTATTGAGACAAGTTTACTATTTATCACATCAATCTTGTGTGTGTTATTTCATATTCTGATGAAAAAAGATTTTTTCAATATAATTACCTATTTTTTGTCAATGCACTTAATTCTGTAATGAATAGTAATCATGTGGATTGAACATTATACAGTAAAAATTTTTATCTATATTCTGCTAATAACTGTGTCCGGCTATGGACTTATTGATTCACCCTTCACGTTGTTCTTTTATGTGATGAGTATATGAATTAGGTGGACAAATTCAGGTGATGCACTTTAAACCTCTGTCCTCTTAGATCAAAACTTATCTCAATACATACAAATATTTGCTTTCTGTGATTGCATCTAAATTAAGAAGTTTCCTTCTGTTAAAAACTATATTACAATTATAGCCAATTTTCCCCTCTTTTTCAAGGAAATTAGACACTGAAAAAAGAAAAATTTAGTAACTATAGTTAAATATTAAATACAATTTCATAGTTAGCCATAAGGAAGAGTGATGATTGAAGAAAGTTGAAAGGTGTTGTGAATATTTTTGCAATATTTGAGCAGAAAAATGTCATTTTTATGCTCTCAGTTTTAAAATGTGATATTTTTGTATACCGGTTGCCCTCTGGCTAATTAAAAAAAATGCTTTGTATATATCAACAAATTAAAAAACAATTCACCCCAGAAATTGCTTATATGCAATTGAAATTAGGTTGAATATATTTTAATATTTTATATTTATTTTGTAGAAAAATCAGCCATAATCTTTTCAAACAATGCAATCACCAATTTTTATTAATGTTTTGATATTTACTTCAATGTTATTTTTGAATAGTTATCAAAATGAAGTGAACAAGTTGAATTGAAATGAATTAAAATAGAAATGTGCATGTAAATAAATATCAAAAATATTACATTTGTCCTGTAAGAGTTGTTACATTTGGATGTCTATTTCATATAAATAAATTCAGCAATCATTATGGAACATGTTCTTCTGTTTTATAATAATTCAATTTGTG